TTGGAAGCAGAAGCACAGAAATTGTCAGGAGGAAGGGTGTATTGGGATATGCAAGTACACCTCCTTGAGATCCATGGAGATCAGGAATTCTCCCTGCTGCAGCACCTGCAATATATGGTGGAGGAACTCCATCCGGAACCTCCTTCTTGCCACCCATCTGTTTAGTCCCCGTAAGTTCAGTACCACTCTCCAGTCCTCTGACTTCTTTGTAACAACGAATAGGACAGAGTATACTCCCTTGAAACGTTCTCCGTGCAGTACTTCTTCTATGGCGCCAATGGTTTGGAGGTGTAGAATTGCTTCCTGCAGCCGTCGTAGATGTTCCTTGTGCCTTGGAGCTGGCGATGGAGTGAAGCTGTGAGGGGGTGAACCAGTGAGCTCTAATCTGTAGCCCTGGGCAATGATCATCCGCACCCACTGATCCGTGGTGGTCAGGCTCCAAGCCCGTGCGAAGGCCTGGAGCCGGCCCCCAATCTGGCAGTAAGGCTGGCTGCTTTTTTGGTAGGGCGCCCTTATTGGTCCGGTAGGCAGCTGCATGCTTGGTGTTGGACCACGCACCGTACTTGAAGGATTTGGTCTGTGGTCTCTGCCATCTTGTCCCCGTCCTGGATTGTAGTGGCCATGAAAGGAATGAGAAATTCTAGGCTTAGCCTCTCTCACGATGATAGGCCGATGACGGCATTGCCTTCTTCTTCTCCCTAGTTTCCACTAGTACCTTGTCTAGATTTGATTCTCCGAAAAGAAGCCTTCTGGAAAACCTCTCTGTAGCCAAGTTGTTTTTGGACAAGGTGTCTACTTTCCAATGTTTAAGCCAGATGTTATGGCGGATGATGATGTTGGCTGCTTGTGCTGTAGCGCAGAACTGGATGCTGTCCTGGAATGTGTCTGCTGCGAACTCCACCGCCTGTTTCATCTTCAACAGGGTCCTCTTCAGGACCAGTGGGGAAACGTCCGGGTCCTGCAGTAGATTGTCTGCCCAAATAGCGGTGGCCCTGGTGAAGTTGGAGAGAGCCGCCATGGAGCGTATTGCCAGAGACATGGCCTTGTGTGCCTTTTTTAGGGCGACTTCATTCTTCCTGTCCATGGCGTCCTTCAAGGCGTTTCCCCCGTCCTTGGGAAGCACCGTCCCCCAGTGTAGTGCCACTACTGGAACGTCAATCAAGGGCACCTTCAAGTCCTCCATGGTGTCCTCAGGCAACGTATAGAGCCACTTCACTATTGACAAGAGGGAGCTCCCGCCCCCAGGGTTGGCCCATTCTTCCCATATTACGTCCTCAAAATAATCAGGGAAGGACGAGAAGGTTTGAAGCTTGACAGGTTTTTTGAAGCTTCTAGGATCTAGTTTGGCGGACGCTGAAGACCTTGGCTTCTCCGTCACTTCCATTTGGTAGTTTAGAATGGAAATGACTCTTGTTAAAAGCCTTTGAAAATGCTCAATTTGGAACAGCCGAGAGAATGTGGGTTTCACCTCTGTCTCATCTCCTGACCATTCTCCTTCTCAGCGTTGCCCAGAGAGGTAATAGTGGAGGCCGTCTCCGCCTGCGCAGAGCTAATGCTATTTAGGTGTTCCCGTCCAGGGATTTCACCTGGCTGTGGCCGGTCCAATCCCCTGGGCACATTTGCCTGTTCCTGTTCCCTTTCTCCCTCTGAGGCTCCTAGCGCCTCATGTGGGGCAAGTGTTCCCTGGCCCCTGGGTCTCTTAGGGGTAGATGGGGACCTGGAGCCAGAAGAGGACTGGGATGATGAGGAATGGTGCTGTCCTCTTTTCCTGGAGCCCCTGGAGACCCCCCTGCCCCTGGGCTCTTGGCTCCCTTGAAGTGTCGAGGGCTGGGCTGTTCCCCCCCCCAGCTCCCCCGGTCCAGGGGCCATTGTTGAAGCGGCCAGGATCCACCCAGCATTGGCCACATCCAAGGTGGTCCATTGGTAAATGGGGGGGGGGCATAAAGCAGCCCAGTCCCGCACCGCCTGTGCCCTGCACTGGCTGTGGACAAGGCAGCTGGACTGTTTGAAAAAGATGGGGCCGGTGTGACTGCATCGGCATATGCGCAATGCCCACTGATGTCCATGTCCCCGGTGGTCCAATGGCTCCCCAAGGGGTGAAGATTTGAGCTTGCGCTGGCACCGGGCCTCTGGGCTGGGCTTGGGACGGTCCCGGCACGCTGCCATTGGGGCTATGCCCCATCAGGGTCATCCCCCCCATTGGAATGAGCTCACTGGATGGGCTCACCAGCCCTTTGGCTTTCCTGCAGTGTTTTGTCTTTCCCGCGCTGCTGGCTGCTGCACCAGCTGAATTTGCTGTGGCTGTCTTCTTGGCACGCGGCTGGGCATGGGAGCCCGAAGGCTTCGACTGCTGGGTCCCGCCGCCAGCGGTCTCTGCTGCTGCGCCACCATCGCCGCCATCTTGGAGCACATGGGGGGGGTTGAACGGGGCCCGGCTAGCCCTTTGCGTTCAGCCGGCCTCGCACTGGTGGAGCTGTCTTCCTTTGGCAGTTGCAGCGGCGCTTCTTCCAGCCGCTGACTGTTCTGCAGCCTGACTCCCTGTGCCTCGGGAGTGCTTGGCTGCTGCTCCACAGGGACTTCCGTCGTGGCCTTTTGTCTGCCTTCCGGTGCCTCAGAAGGTGGAGGGGCCATTTCTTCTTCTTCCCATCCTGGGCCATCCGCGGTCTCCTCCGGTTTTCCTGGAATCCGCGAGGAGGGAAGAGAAGGGTCTTCTTAGCCTGTGGAGTTTTCTGTCCTTCTTCGATTTATTATTATTATTATTTTTGTAATTCCTCTGGCTTGGAGCAGGAGCTCCAGAAGTCTTACCAAGCGCAGGGCTATGCAGGAACTGGAGAGATCAGCCTAGACCACTCCAATAGGAGCCACGCAACAAAAGAAATTTGCATAGCCTATCCGAGCGAGCAGAGGCATGACCTAACCAGTTCCTGGATGACTTCCCCCCACTGGAGAAAGTACCTCTTACAGCACACCAGAACATAGAGCTCTTTGGTATGGCTGCATCCCTCTACATTTCCACAACTGCAACTACCTGTGGCTAGATCCTGCCCCCTTTGGCCCTTCTCCCCAAGGTTTTCTTGACCTAGATTACCAAGTTCATGCCACACTCCAGTCAGGTAGCAGCACCAGCCAAACATTTTAGCAGCTGAAGTAAAACAGCTCAAAGGATTCTCCTCCCTCCACCTCCATTTGTTTGTACCTTTTAAATAGCTAGAAAAAGAGCTTGGATGCAGGAAAATAATGCCTCTTGTGGAATCTGCTATCCAAATGTACTACTTCAACTCATTTCAAACAGTGGAGCAGTGGCAAAGTCTAAAATCAATTTTCCCCAGTAGTTGGTACTTTTTGCTTGAGAATGCAGCCAACCTGCTGAGGGAGACTCTGCATTTAGAACACAAACAAGCAATCATGTCACATTACAAGTTGTGTGAGCTGTATTCAGGTTGCTATATAAAAGGACCTCCTGGCTTTGCAAACATCTGACATAGTAGCTTTGGGAGGAATGAACTGCTAGAGTGATGAGTTGCTGCCAAAACATGCAGGTGGCAGTTCAGTTTGGTTGGTTTTGGATAACAAACCTCAAATGTAACCTAATATTTGAGTATCCCAAAAGAGCACTTCAGCAAAAGAAAATAAATTGACAGGAAGTGATGGTAACCATTTTTAAAAGCATTTTTTTAAAAAAATGAACGTATCAACTGTCTAAGATTTAATTTTTAGAGATTTTTTGGCAGGGTGACATGTTTACCCTGGAAGGAGGAGGGTCATAGCAAGCAATGTTAAAACGAACAATATTACAATTAAAAATTTTTGGAAGTGATATCAATAGTAATGCTTACAACTTCCCATGACAGAAGTTTGGGTTTCACACCTCTCCCAAATAGTTAAGCCAACCAGGAGAGAGATAAGGAAACAGGTCAGATCCAAATGGATCACAAAAAATGTTTGCAACAAAGAATAAAAGAAAAGACGACAGAAGAAACACACAAAAACTAGATCTCAGTTCCCAGATATCTTTATTAGGACGCTAGAACAGTTTGACAGGAAGAGGCATGTGTACAGCGCAGAAGATGATGGTATTATATACTGTTTGGGATGTAGTAACAATATTGGGGGGGGAAACATAATCACCTCTCCAGTCTAATGCTTCTGCCTTTTTTCTGTTATACTCATCCACAGAGTATTTTATCAGGAAGTAAAAGTTTCTGCTCACAACATCCACTAGACTCAAATCCCAAAACAATTCCATGAGTATCATTTATGGCAAGGGAATTGAACATCAGAAATATTTGGAACGCATACTGTGGAGTCTTTAAAAAAAGTAAGATCTGCAGACAATAGTTGGCACTTGCATACTGAAGCATCTGCAGGAAGGTATCTAAGATTAATAAAGTCCATCTGTGACAAAGTCCAGGAACCATTTAAATGATTACATGAAAACAGCAATTATGCCAGCTAATAGATCAGTCAATACAATAAAAAGGAGTCGACTGCTGATGGAACAGTTCAGGTGTTTGTGCAGCATGATGACCCTGGTCATGTGGGAAAAACCTGGGATGTCTCAAATAAGTTTCTGTACATCAAATACAAAGCAAGCAGGAGCAAAGGCTCATGTTCTCCCAGTTTACATTCTCCCCGTTTATATTTCTAATAGGAAAACTGCTTGAGCCAATCCCAGCTTCTAGTGACAGTCAGTGAGGATTCAACAGTCCCGCAAAAACAAGGATTTTCAGTGTCCTTCCCAGTAAAAGACCCCAAAAAGGCAAACAAGTGTTCCAGACAATGCTTCTGTTTTTGCGTGTCTCTCTGTCCCATGACCAAAGCTTCTCAGAGCTACATAGATGAGAGGGTTATCTTTTCAGTTCTTTTTATTTAAGAGACTGGGCATTGAAAATACCATTATGTACTTTTTCCCTCTCATTGATTCCTAGACATGAATAGTTTTAAAGGAAATATAACAAGGGAGAAAATGAGATCTGTGTGCTGGAGGATCCAGAGGTGTTTCAAAAAGAAGAACGGTGATGATTCATTCGGCCTTCTAAAGGCTGGAGAAACGGCCCAGACAGCACACAGGGTAGCTTGGCTGAGTCAGAGGGAGAAGACAAAGGCTCAGTAGGAACTGATATCCTATCTACTACAGAGGGGGTTAAAGAGCATTGTTACCCTGCCTGTATCTGCCTGAAACTTAATCATATATCATGTTATCATCTCTTAGGCTACAAGCAGAAACACCAGATCTAGATCTTTGTACAATAGCATCTGTGTACAACATGGAGCTGTGGTGGCTCAAGTGGTTAAGACGCTGAACTGCAGGCTGTGGAAGGTCAGTAGTTCAGCAGTTTGAGACCCGGGTGCCGCAAGATGGAGTGAGCTCCCGTCTCTAGTTCCAGCTCCTGCCAACCTAGCAGTTCGAAAGCAAGAAATTGCAAGTAGATAAATAGGTACCACTTCAGTGGGAAGGTAACAGCATTCCATGCGCCTTGGTGTTTAGTGATGCCGGCCACATGACCACGGAAACGTCTTCGGACAGCGCTGGCTCTTCGGCTTTGAAACGGAGATGAGCACCGCAACCCTAGAGTTGGATTCGACTGGCTTTCGAGCAAGGGAACCTTTACGTTTTACAACCACCCCATGTGTCAGATCACATGTGAAAGTTCCTTAGAAAAGTGTCTATGTCAGACCAACTTGCTGGCTGTACACTGACTAGTTTGCAGAACATTACAAAACTTTATGAGCGTCAGCAATTAAATGAGCCTATGTAGTAGGCGTGCATGCTAAAACCACTTGCTTAAAAGGGATAACTGACCAACCTGAGATCAATAACACTTCTATAGTATTGTAATATGTATGTATAAGTAACTACAAGTACTCTATAAACTGTTGTTGTGTTATTTATTGGCAATTTCATGTTCAGTATATCCAGGAAGAGACTTTTAAAACTTTCTGAAAATCCTGCATCCCACTTTTATGGAGGTCTTTCCCCCATAAACACTGAAATCTGGAATGGCACCTGTCCTCCTAAATCCAAGGTTGAATAACTCTAAATGGATGCACAACTCAAGGGAAAGGTAGAATCTGGATTGAAAACCATGGAGGATAGAGCTATGTTATCCTAGAACAGCATCCCTGAAGGCTGTTGAATAACATTTCCCTGCCTGAGCTTTGCTTTGATAAAGAACCCACCATTCTTTCCTAAGGAATCAGCCCTCTAGCTAGGAAAAACAAGTAGGACAATATCTTAGATTGGTAACCCAAGCAAGGTTCATCAGGATATCTCAGCTTTCACCATCTGAAGACATCATGGCACAATTTTGCAATCTGTTTCTTCCCTATTAAACATACAGGAAGGTCTTGTTGAGATAGAACAATAAATACTATATTTAAAATTGTTATCAGAATTAAATGAAAACGGGACTGAAGAGCTTCACAGAACTCCAACAGCTGAAATACAGAAATTCAAATTAGTGCCCAGATTTTAAAAAAATAATAATCTTTAATGACCATTGAAGCAGCTGTGTTCATATACTAGCCATAGAAAATGGTGACTATTCTCCATGCTAGTATATGATCTGGGTAGTTAACAGAACTGCGTATGTAATGCAAAAGGACATCAACTGGTCATCATCTTTCACAATACTATTTTGGCAGGAATTTCCATTTTTGGCAACAGCCCTAGAATTTATTGTTGAGGTATAATTACTTTGATATTTTTAAATTCTCAAAGACAAATGTACATATCTCATTTTGTAAGTCCAAATGAGATATGCAGAAGAATTATGTCCACTTTGCTAAGGTGGGGGACTTTTCAGGTGAAGAAATATATAATAGGAAATTGCTAACCACCCCTGGCCACAGACAATTGGTCCCTAATACAATATTCCTGTAGTAAAGGAACACTCAGACCACACAGCCCCCTCGTCTCCTCTTTTCTAAGAGACTGTGAACCAGCCACTGAAAGACACAACTTCCTTCTTATAGAGAACTTAACTAACTGGACAAGAAAAAATGACCATGCAGGTGTTTCTCAGTTTATAAGCAGGATACTTAGTTGTGCCGCATGACGGAGTGCCCTCCCGTCTCTAGTTCCAGCTCCTGCCAATCTAGCCGTTCGAAAGCAAGAAATCGCAAGTAGATAAATAGGGACCACTGCGGTGGGAAGGTAACAGCGTTCCGTGCGCCTTGGGGTTTAGTCATGCCGGCCACATGACCACGGAAATGTCTTCGGACAGCGCTGGCTCTTCGGCTTTGAAATGGAGATGAGCACCGCAACCCTAGAGTCAGATTCGACTGGCTTTCGAGCAAGGGAACCTTTACCTTAAACTTTTGGTCCAAAGCTTAACTGCCTGGCCAGCCTCTGCTTGGAAAAAATGTAATCCACTAATTTTTCTTCTGTTCCTTGTGTCTGTCCTGCTACTGACTCACAATGTGATCTATTATGAACAGACACGGCTTTTCTTAAGGATTATCATACTTTTGCCTAATGTGTGTCTAACAGCAGTTGAAGGCAGGAAGCCCCATTCAAGAAAGGAGTAGCTGTTTCAAAGTATACATCAGATGGAGTGGTTGATTGTCCAAGTAGTGATTTCTTGTGCTTCTAACAGTATAGCATAGGATCCTCTAAGGTTTCTTTTAATGTGGTCAAATCCTTCATCAGAAGCAGCTATGGGCGGATTCACACATGCATGTACATCGTTTAGGGTCACATCATTTGGTGACAAAAAATGACCATGTTTGAGGCAGCTAATATGAACATTCAGTGCTGTTTGATCAAGATGTCTGCTTCACATATGTAAGGCATCACTTAAAACCATCATGTGTAAAGATCTTACAAATGTCTACTTTGGTGCATGTACATGCATTTGGAAATTGCAGCATGCATCTTTTTCCAAATACAAGCACCATAGCTAAATACCCGTTACCTTAGCATTTATATAATTTCCATAAATAACAGTGTATGTGGATGCTTATTTTCTCTTTCCTCACCCTCAGAATACATAAATATGAATATTCATGTGATATTGCTATCTTTCATGTGCAGGGGTCATTTCCTGCGGGAGCGCACAGGAGCGGAGCTCCGGCAGTAAGGAGCTCAGGGGGGGGCACATGCAACAAGCCCCGCTCCCTGCTCCCAGCAGCCCTCAGTTGGGCCATGAGGAGCAAGAAGCAGCCAGGTACGTTTCAGAGCCTCCCCCCCCCCGGCCCGCCTTCAGGTACAAGCTCTCCCTCCTCTGTGAGGACAGATCTGCACGTTCCTCCCCCAATAGCTAGCAATCCAAAACAGTCCAATGGAGCCTGAGTGGTGGGTGTTGCCTTCTGACACACCTCTGGCTGATGTCAGGGTGTGTGGCATATGCAAATAAGTTATGCTAATAAGTTATGCTAATGAGCTCCTGCACCTCTTTTCCCACAAACTGACCCCTGTTCATGTGTATTTTGCTTTTCAGGTGTATTTTGTCCTTCTTGATCAAAGGACCAGGAGTCCATGTTTGCTTGAAAAAGTCTTCCTTTCATACTCTGGTTGCATTTGATCTGATTGCTGTTTTGCTTCATTATGTGCAAAGCTTTACTGATGTTTTTACTTTAACCATAAGAACAGAGGAATCCTGCTGGCAATGCAGGGAAACAACTTGCACAGATAATTTCTGGGCAGCTCAATTATTGCTTTGACATTTATATTTCTTGGCTGGCTAACAGTTTGTCTTTCCTTCCCCCCCTCCCTTTTTTCTCCACAGAGGCTCCTTGGAGAAAAATAAGAAACTTATATTAGGAAACAAAATGTTTTTCTTGTACTATGAGTTGTCCCTCCCACCCAAGATCTCAATGCAAAGTAAAATTTAGTATTCCAGTTATACTATCTTATACTACCTTTATTATACTTGTAATCCACTTTGTGCCCCAGTGAGAAAGGCAGACTATTATTATTACTTTTTTAAAGGATTGGACAAATTCAGGGAAGAGATCAATGGATAGTAGCCATGCCTCTATCCTGCCTTTCCCATGAGCGTCCCTTAAAGCTGGATCTTCTGTTAGAGACAGAGTGCTGTACTAGGGAGCCTGTTATACTGCCATCCTAAGCAGAATTACACCCTTCTAACTCCATTGAAGTCAAAGGGCTTAGAAGGGTGCAAACACTGTTTAGGATAGCACAGTTCGTCTGATTCAGCAAGACAATTTTTATCTTCCCAGTATGTGGTACTTGATGGGGTATGCACACAAAATTATTCAAGTTTATTTTCAGTTTATTTTCTTTTTTAAAACATTTGCATTATGTGTATTTTATTAGATTTCATGGACTTCCATGGAAAACACATTTGTAGTTGTAACACTTTTCCGGCCAATTTAAGGCAAAGCTTTTATGGACTTACCTATGTGATGTAGTTTGATTGCCATCATTTAAGGGCTACGTTCATAGTTTTAATCTTGATTTTATTGTTTTTTGTTAATGTTTTAACCTGCCCTGAGCCCACTTGTGGGAAGGGTGGCATAGAAATTTAACCAAATAAATAAATGAATAAAATTTCCAGCCAATTAAAATGAGGACACATCTCTGGCTATTTTTATTTCACCCAACTGGAATAAAATTCCTGGGGGATATACCTCTCACCAATGCTCCCTCTAAGCTGTGGAGTCTTGTGAGGAAAAATTCTTCTTTGTGAGCTACTGGCATTAAAGTGGTGAGCATGCAATTTGGCTACCGCATGAATTAGTCTGCTCGGGAGCCATCCTTCCTAAGCTAAGACAAAGATGTGAGCCAGAAGCTAAAAAACTGTGAGCTAGCTCACACTAACTCAGCTTAGAGGGAACACTGCCTCTCACCCAAGTGGTTGTCCCGCCCAACTTTCAGTCTATAGGACAAAGGATCCCCTTTTTATAGGAAACTAAAATTTTACCTGCGCAGCAAACACAGGGAAGTCCCGAGAAAGGCACTCTTTCTTAGGCAGCTCGCAGTACAGTCCTGTGCAGAGTTTCTCTAGTCTATGGCCTTTGATTTCAATGGACTTAGATTGGAGTAAATCTGTACAGACTGTAGCCACACCAGTAGCAACTGGTATTAGCAAAGCAAGTCAAAAGGCCTGTAAATAA